AGACAATTCTCACTACTTTGTTACTGTACTTAAGTTCATTTTTCTGGTATCAGTACTTTACTCTTATTTTTCTGACAACTTTGACTTCTTAAATTTTGAACACAAATACCTGTACTTTCTACTTCTTACATGTTGAACACAAATACCTGTACTTTCTACTTCTCACATGTTGAACACAAATACCTGAACTTTCTACTTCTTACATGTTGAACACAAATACCTGTACTTTCTACTTCTTACACGTTGAACACAAATACCTGTACTTTCTACTTCTTACATGTTGAACACAAATACCTGTACTTTCTACTTCTTACATGTTGAACACAAATACCTGTACTTTCTACTTCTTACATTTTGAACCCAAATACCTGTACTCTCTACTTCTCACATGTTGAACACAAATACCTGTACTTTCTACTTCTTACATGTTGAACACAAATACCTGTATTTTCTACTTCTTACATGTTGAACACAAATACCTGTACTTTCTACTTCTTACATGTTGAACACAAATACCTGTACTTTCTACTTCTTACATTTTGAACCCAAATACCTGTACTCTCTACTTCTTACATGTTGAACACAAATACCTGAACTTTCTACTTCTCACATTTTCCAAACAGCTGGTTCCTTTAGTTTGAATGTGTGTTTGGTGGCGTGATCATTATTATTTAGAGTCATTGCGTGCCTATTGATTTGAACACGATCCGTGTATCCATCATTTCCTGGTCTTCTCTAAAGAAGAGGGACCAATGAAAACGTTGTCATGTTGCCGTTGTTCAGCATGGAAACATTCATTAGCTAACAATGACATTATTGTTCTATTAATATAAAGGGAGGTCAGGTACTCTTTAAAACAGCTGCTAGTTATGGGTACTTTTTACTGAAGTACATTTCAAAGCCCTCTTTACTTTGACTTGAGTAAAGAAGTTTAGTCAGTACTTCTACTTTTACCAGAGTATTTTTCAACACGAGTATCTGTACTTCTACTTGAGGAAAGGATGTGTGTACTTTGCCATCTCTGGTGGTGACTACTCTATCTAGCGTCAGACGGCTGTGATCTTTAGAGAGTGAAATGGTGACAGACCGAGCAGTCCTCCTGTGAGGTCTGCAGGCAGCCGGAGCGATCGTTCCTCACGCAGCAGCCCGACTCCCCCTCTCTGGATCTCTTCTCCTGGATCAGTTTGTGGATCTCTTCGTCTTGACGCATGCACGGAGAAAACTTTGCTCCCAGGTGGATCAGCGCCTCCTGCAGGACAGTACGGTCTGGTGAGGGTTCTGGATCTAAACCAATGGTTACCAACTTCTTTAAGCCTGAACTACCCCTACAGTCTTAGATGAGATCAAGTAACCCTTTATAAACCACCTGTTATGCTCATATGTGTTCATGTGAGGCATTTTAAATAGTTATTCAACATTATTATCAACATTTCTCTACTTTAGCTGGCATTGTCTATTTAAATTATGTATTAGTAACAGTTAAGACTTCTCTGCTTCTTGCTTACTAGAAACAGCTGATTGCATAAGCATTTATTTTTTGTTGAAATAAGTTAAGCCATAAATCATTGTAATACACTTGAGCTTTTCCCATGTTGACTATCATGCTTCAAAGGACAATCATAGATAGAAGAGGCTTAAATGAAGATACTTACTGAGCTCGGACCCACCCAGAAGTTTTGTTGTTGCACAAACTTAACGTTCTCATACACTCCCTTGTTCCTCAAAACCTCCAAAGAGACAAAGAAAAAAGCTTTATTACCAACATGCTTTGTCAAAAATGTTCAGTCGAATCTCAACACAATTTGTTGACAGACAATAAACCAATGCAGCTTTAATAAACGCCGTTGAATAAACGTACAGAGTCGACAGTTTCATGCTGTGAGAATCCCACAGGGGCGATGCCGTAGATGGTGACGGCCAGGATGGTGATGAGCAGATGGACAAAAGTGATCCAGTAGGTAAAAAAAGGCCTAAGAGAGGCAAGGCACGTTTATTTATACAGCACCTTTCAACACAAGGCAATTCAAAGTGCTTTACAAAAATGAAAGACATTAAAGGTGGGATAGGTAATTTCGGATTAACTATCTCGAGTGCGCTAGAATTTGAAAATACACAACCGGAAACAATCTGCCCCTTCCTTACTGTTAAAGCCATTTTCCCTTTTGTTATTATTGTCTGAATGTTAGGCTTAATAATAATATAAATTAGATTATACTGTCAATTATCGGCTATTTTTGTGAGTCACATTATGGTTTAAAGTGTATTAATTTAAGGCTCACTGATTATTTGTTATGTCCGTCAGTATCACGTGCATGGCTATATGCAGGGGTGCATATAAGTGGTACGCAGGTACGCATGCGCGGCAACAATCTGAAATGCGTACCGTCACTTGTGTCTCAAAGCGCATTTGCGTACCGACGTACTTGTGAAGCTTTTCCAGAAGGCGGTTAGATCACCGGACGACAGAGTTGGTGTCCGTGTGCACAGACAGGGCTGCTGTTAACGTCGGTCTGTACAGCAGCACTGCGCTAAAACAGCTGATCAATGTTCACACGCTCTGTGGTCACGAAGCTCTGCACTCTACTACTACTACCCCATTGACATTCGCGATACAGAGGGCTTCATGGGAACTTTGAGGGGAGCCGGAAGTTGGAGTACCAAACACTTACTCCAGGTACTCATCTGAGTACCTCACTGAGAAAGTTGTGTGCACCCCTGCTTATAGAGATGGGACGGCTCTTAAAAAGGCTCTTTCTCCAGTTAATCCCAGAATATATTAAGGTTAAGCCTATTCAGTGGTAGATACATGATAAGATACACCATGTTTGACAAGAACATATAAATACATTCCTGCTTCTATTCTTATTTTACTCTTTATATAACATTTCCTATAAATGTCTCTACCTTTCCCCCTCTCCTTGTCTTCATACCATATGACTGACCTTGCCATGTTATAATACACATTCATAATTGTTTTGCCTCATTTTGCAGAGTTGTGTCATGAATAACAATAATATTGATTCTGTTTTTTTTTTTTTAAGGAGACCAAACCGAAGGGTCACAGTCAGTTCTGAGCCAAGGTACGGTTGCCATATGACAGTGTGTCCAAAACATTTTACATTTGAACAACTTTCGCAGGATTTGCAGCGTTTGTATTCACTTCTGAGATCCAATCTCTTTCTTGGCTTTCTTTCTTGGAATTTCTGTTATCTTTCTGTAACAATTGAAGACATTTAAGTGTTATTGTTAGTGGTTTATTGTGGATCTGCAACAGCAAAAGTAACGTAAAAGTAGTAGCCGTATTCAGGGTCAGATATCAAAGTCAAATTGTGACCTGATACATAATGAAACATTTAAATGGAATTGATTTAATTTACATAACTGTTAAAATATTTGTGTGAATGTTATTTCTTAAAGTATGAATACTAATGTGGAAGGGACTACACAAAGATATAGATATTTAAACTAAAGTGAATATACATTTTTAAGGCATTATTATTATTCTTATCAAAACGCGATTATTCTCCACATATCTCTATTGATATGATCTGATCTGCTGTTGACAGATTTTATGAAATGTTCCTGTAAGCATCATATTAAATGGCAGTTATTTTTCGAGGATTCGTATAATTACAATCATTGTATTGTATGTTATCATGGTCGTCAGGAGTAGCAAAAGTAATTACGGTAGTCCCTATTCTGCTTATTTTCAGGTTCATATTAGTATGTAGTTTCTCAACTTTAAAGAGTGCTGTCCTGCTGATGTTCAGGTGTATATCAGTATGTAGTGTCTCAACTTTAAAGAGTCCTCTTCTGCTGATG